GTTGAATGTGGACGAGATAATTTCTGCACTTTTGGAAGGTATTACCAATGCATAGGAACTTTGCATGTAATTTAGTGAGGGGATCCAGGATCGGTACGACAGTGAATCTGAAGGAAGAGGATATTAAGGCCCTGTGTGCCAAATCAAGGGAGATTTTCCTCTCTCAGCCCATCCTACTGGAATTGGAAGCACCATTAAAAATATGTGGTAAGATAGCTTCCTTGAATTTTAGCGAATTCCGTGACGCAAGCCTCAGCTTTGGGCTGTTTTTTGAAAATATTGAAGGTCATATAGAAGTGCATTTACCGCAGTTGGTTGTTAATGATTTTTTTTTAGCCCTTTTAATGATGCAGTTTTAACCATCAAGGAATCTTTGTGTGTGAGTTTCTCCAGTTACCTCTTTGCTTTGGAACTAGAGCACGCCTTCGACTTCTCAAAATACTACTGAATCTCATTTGAAGTTCTAAATTTTTTTCAGGAGATATTCATGGTCAGTACACAGATTTGATGCGATTGTTTGAGTACGGCGGATTTCCTCCCGACGCCAATTACCTCTTTCTTGGTGATTACGTGGATAGAGGGAAACAGAGCTTAGAAACTATTTGCCTCCTCTTGGCTTACAAAATTAAGTATCCTGAGAACTTCTTTCTTCTTCGTGGCAATCATGAATGCGCGTCGATTAATAGAATTTACGGATTCTATGATGAATGTGAGTATCTCGCATGGTAATTTGTGCACGTGCCAATTTCTCAACTATTTTTTGCTCGTGATCTACGTGTCTTTAAGGGTGTTGCACTTACTTAGGTACAGAAACGATTATGACGAATGATTACCAGCTTCCAATCGTTTCTTTTTAGGCAAGCGACGGTATAATGTTAAACTGTGGAAGACGTTTACGGACTGTTTCAATTGTCTTCCTGTCGCGGCCATTGTTGATGAGAAAATTTTTTGCTGTCATGGGGGTAAGGAAGTCTTCTTGGCATTTAAAGGCTCATTTTCTATCAGCAAAAGGGAAGAACTGCAAGTGGGCTAACGCATGTGTACATTAAATGCTGAATAGCTTTTGAGTTCGAGAATCGTTCATTGAGATGTGCATTTTTTGGCGATTTGTGGTAATTAATTTGTAACACTTTTTGCCTGCAGGATTATCCCCAGATCTTCAAACCATGGAACAAATTCGACGGGTTTTGCGTCCCACTGATGTTCCTGATACTGGTATGTTATCGAAGAGGTTGGACGCATTTTGATAATGTTAGAGCATACTTACCTGATTCCTTCATCCCGGGCTATAGTTTTCGCAGAACATATTCATTCAGTACCAAAGGAGGACAATGTTTTGTAGGAAATGGTACAGACTTATCCGTGCCGTC